TAATTCCACTGCTTGAGATTGAAATCTGATTGTTTCTTATGGAAGTTTATCTCCATGATTTTCTATTAAACAAGCCGCTTTTATTCCTGAAATTTATGATATAACTTGAAATATTTTGATCACCACCTTGTATGCCTAATTCTTTTATTATATTACATACTTCATTAAATTCCCTATGATTAAAATGCTCTCCTTAATATTAGGAACTCAATAAGCATTGTGATCACATTTCACATGTATTTATATCGTTTTTTTCTTTTTCAAACATATTTTTATATTCAGATCTTATAGAATATTTGATCAGGTCAAATATTCTCCCGTTCAATTGACCCGTCAAAATCTAGTCATTTGACTGGTCAATTGACTGACTTCTAACCCTGGCCAAAATTGATTGATAAATTTATAAATATTAAGTCATCAGACAATAAATAGGAATGCTACCCAGATATCAATTTCGCCAGTAAATATCAAGATTTAACCAATAAACTCAATGATTATTATATTGATAAAGCTGAGTTCCTTGTGCGCGATTATTATAAAATAAGAACTTCGAAGGAAAGGATAGGATAGCGAAAAAAGTGTATTCCAATAACAAATTTCATAAACCAGATCTAAGTTTATTAATCATTATATAAATTTTTTATGGTTAAAAGAAAATTACAAACTATGTGAAATTAAAAAAATATTATTCAAATAATATAATTATAAAAAAATGATTCAAAATAAATTAGTCATTATTAGCAATTATCGCGATATTAAATTCTCTATAATATCTTCGCGATATATGTTTCGCGAAATAATTGTCGCTACATTGTCTTCACGATTCGGGTTTCGCGATAATAACTTCGCTATAAAATTTTCGCGATTAAAGTTTCGCGGTAATATATTCGCTTCAAATGTTTCGCGGTAATGTATTCGCATTAAAGGTTTTGCGATATTGTATTCGCGGTAATGTATTCGCGATAAAGGTTTCGCTATAAAAAATTTGCGATATTGCATTGGCGGAATAGTATTCGTTATTATGGATTCGCGATAAAAGTTTCGCTACAAAATCCCTTCGCGATAAACGACATTCGCGATAAAAGTGTTTAGCGATATTCGCTAAACTGACATGGAACCAATCGGCACAGCCCTATTTTTAACGTTACATGTCAATACCGCGAAAATTTTAGCGCGAAATGTATTATCGCGAATGTCGATTACCGCGAAAAGATATTATAGCAAATGCATTATCGAGAATATAATATAGCGAATGCATTATAGCAAAAATAGCGAATGTATTAGCGCGAAAATGTTATCGCGAATGCATTATAGCGAATACATTACAGCGAATGAATTATCGCGAATGCATTATCGCGAATATATTACCGCGAATGCATTATAGCGAATGTATTATAGCGAATGAATTATCGCGAATACATTATAGCGAATGCATTATAGCGAATCCATTATAGCGAATGCATTATAGCGAATGAATTATCGCTGTATTATAGCGACATTATCATATCGCGAATGGAGTTTCATGAAAGTTACAATTTTATATTTATCGGCTTTTCGACTGACTTAGTTGAATCTGAAAATTAAGTTAAAATGGGGATTGGCTCTAAAAACATTTTTTTATTGATATTAAGGCTAAGGCTTTTCTTTTTTTTTGACCCAAAATATATAAAAAAGATTCTAAGTAATAAAATAGATTTCTCTTTTTCATCTAATCATTTTAAATATTAAACATCAAGTTTTTTCTTTTTAATTTATTGAAAACTTATAGGGGAGAACGGGGTTATGGCGAACCCTAAAGGCAAACCTTAAGAAAATTATAAGTACTTTATCATTTTTAATAAAAAATATCTCATTTTGTTCAGCTCTATTAGTTTTATGATATGTTTAAATTTCAAAAATACATTTCTAATAATTTTTTCAAAATATCATTTTTCCTGGAATTTTTTTTGGTAACCGAGTGAACCCTACCCGGGGACGAACAAGCCCTTGGTCGAGGCTATTATAAACTCTCTTTAATTTTCCATATATAAAAGTTATATATTTTTTTATTAGGATATATTTAATGATTTAAAACATAAAAGTATTATATAAAATCATTTAAAACATTCACAATCTTTGCAAATAAATAAACAATAAAATTGCAAAGCCATTTAACTAATAACTGACATTGAAAGCAGTCTTGATTGTTATGCTTGATATAATTTATTTGTATACCAAACAATTATTTATCATATAATAACCTTTTTCGATTTTTTTTCTTTTAGTTAGTCTCTCCTTGGCTTTTTTTGCATGTCAAATTTTTAAAAAATAGCAAAAAAAAGGTTCGACCTAACCCCATATAAATAGCCCCAGTAGCCACCACTTTGATTAAGATCATATTTTGAAGTATTTATATTATCAATTTTGTTCGGGTAAATTGTTATTCTATAAAATAGGATTTTTTCTTTTATATAAGATGATTTTTGTGTGGTAAAATAGTATATTAATCTTTATTTTTGAAAAATAGTAAAAGTGTAAAAAGTAACTTTTGAAGGTACGAATGATATAAAGCATTATTAAAATTCTTCAAGCGGTACGATAGAAATAAAAATTATAGCCGCATATGCAATATATAAGTATATAGTTTTGGTAAAATATTATCTCTTAGAGTTTAATACTCTAGAAAATAAAGCCACTCTCACTATAACCCTGGGTTCATTATAACACCGGTCTCCCCTAATTATGGGCATCAGAAATTTTTTAGCTTTAGCTGATAACATAAAATAATATCACAAAGTTCTTTCCAAAAGTGTCTTACTTTGTGGAATAAACAAAAAATGTCTACCAATATGGCAGGTAACATCAAGAAATTGGGTAGGTATCTGATAAATTCTAGTGGAATTCGTATTACGAATCTATGGTTTTGCTTGATAAAATCTTAGTTGAAAAACAAAAGGAGATTGATGAATATGATAACCATGGGGTTAGCTTGGTGAACTGGATTAATATTCCACTTTTTCCTAGAGAATTCAGGAATTAAACTTGATTCCAATTTTTATTCTCATGTCAAAATTTTATCATTATCAGATCTTTGATAAAATACATAATTTAGAAAATTATCGTATGTTTATATTGTTAGTGATATTTAATAATGAGATTTGTTTAATAATGCCAAAATATTTTATGTTATAGTTTATGAATTTGAAGAAATCTTTAAAAATATATGTCCGACTACATTTTTTTATCTTAATTTTCTAAAAGCCACTTTATAAAATTTAATATATTTTGTTTTTATGTTATAGTTTATGAATTAAAGGAAATCTTTAAAAATATATATGATAAGATTTTATGTTTTAAAGCTATAAAATTAATAATTTTGACGATTACAAAAGATTTAATAAGATAGAGGTCTCAATCCAATGTTCCCCTTCATCTAATCTTATTTAAAAAATTTTAAAAATTATCAACATATTTTTTTAGCTCTGGAAAGGGTTAATCATATCAGTAACTAGGGGCTAGTAGAATTAGGTCGAATTAATTATATTATGCTTAAAAATATGATACAATAAGTATTCATTGGCTATTATAGCTTTAAATTCTATTTTTTTCCCTTTAACTTTCACCTTTTCTAGTAGTTGATAATCAAAAGAATTAAAAAATTCATTAAAACTTAAACATTTTTTAAAATAAAATATCACATTTTGAAATTTTTTATGAATTATTTATATACAAATGGTGTATTATTGATAATAACAATTATCCTATAGGAGACTTAATAAACCAATATAATCTACAAACCTGGGGTTTGGGGCTTGTTGGGGCAAAAATTAACTTTTACTAGAATCAATCTTAAAATATAAAATATTTATTAATAGGGTCTTTTGTAAAAAACTACTTAATCTAATCGTTAAAAACATTGAGTATACCAAATTCCACATATTTTTTAATAAAATACGAATTTCATAAATAACAAGTGACGTGTTTTAGAGGTAAATAATTTTAAAACTCTACTTTAAATAAATATAGACAATTAAGCTGGTTCTCTGGTTTTTTGGAACTTAATAAATGGGTTAAATATAATTATGTCAAATATAAATCACTATTGCATTGTGATAATGTTAGTTGTAATGCATTCGCGATATTGCATTCGCGATAATGTATTCGCTCTAATACATTCGCTATGATACATTCGCTGTAAGGTTTTCGCGTTAATGCATTCGCGCTAATATATTCGCTATAATACATTCGCTATGATGCATTCGCGATAATGCATTCGCGGTATTACATTCGCTGTAGTAATGCATTCGCTATAATATTTTCGCGGTAATGCATTCGCTATAATGCATTCGCGCTAATATATTCGCTATGATACATTCGCTATAATATCTTTTCGCGGGAATCGACATTCGCGATAATACATTTCGCGGTAAAAGTTTCGGTATTGACGTGATACGATTTTTAACCACTTTACTCTAGGTATGAATTAAAATTATAAAAATAATACACTTACAATAAATATATAATCTGCTATTTGTTAATGCTTTAAAAATATGACAGTAAAAATGTAAAATACCAATCGTATTACCCCCTTCTTTCCTGTATTAAAATTATTATATATTTTGGTAACTACTGATTATTATTAGCAGAAGCTAATGACGATATAAAAAATGATTAATAATTGCCTTCAAAATATAAATAACTTCTTTTATACACAAAAAATAACTGTCAAAAATATCAACATATTTAAATTTAATTTTTGCAATTTTAAACGTAAAGGGTAGAGAGGACCCTTAAGAATAATATTTCGACAGGAGGCAGCTATTAAGTATATAAACAGCTTGCCGATATTAATTTAATATTGGATTAGATCAGGCTAAAAAGGGGGTATTGGACGACCTCAATGAATTTAATCCATATTTAGTTAATTATCCTATTTTTGTGTATATTTTCCCTCACTTATATTGAAATTTGTTTTATAAATAATATATATATTTAATTTCAAAAAATATTTACATTGAAAGTTGGTGTGATATTATTAATGTTAGAAGACTAAGTCAAGTTATAGTCATAGCTATAGAAATAGATATATCTATTCCAAAAGAAGAAATATCAAATGGTGCTTTGAAAATTGGAATAAAAATGCAGGTGAAATAATGTAATTTTTATATAAATTAGAGGTATATTGAATCAGCCTGGTCATTCATTTTTTTAAAAAAATATATAGGTATTTGGTATCTTTCTTTTGTGAAGTTTAAAGATGACAGATATATCTTAAAAATATAATGGTTCATTATTTTATTTTTTACATATATTTTTATTTTTTAAATAAAGTATTATTAAATACAAGGAATTTCCAATTTTATTTTTGTTGGATTTCAGATTACTCTTTTGTTCAGTTCGAGTTTTTAAAAGAGTTAAGTTTGGGTTTAAAAAAATGAGTCAGGATCAGTGCATGGGGTGAAATTTTATGGTCATACCTGCCCAGGGTTGGGCAGTATCGCGGATATTTGTATCTAAGTTACAAGATACTTTTTGTATCTTGTACCTTTTTTAAAATTTTGGAAAGTATCTTGTATCCAGTATCTAAGATACATATTATTTAAAAGTATTTGTATCTTAACCAACTTTGTATTCAAAAGATACAGATACTTTAAAAATAATTTATATTGGTTAATTTAAATAGTATTAAAATTTAAAATGATATTGTTTTAAGATTTAAATGAAAAATTTACAAAATTTAGATATTTTAAGATAATTTTTGATATATGACGTTGGTCGTCATATAGCAATTTGCTAACAATTAGAACTATCATATTTGAATCGTTTTATATCTGTCTATTTTAATATTATGGAAGAAGAAAATAGAATATGTTTATCTTTGTCTTCAGATGATTCTTCAACCGAAAATTATAACAATAAATTTAAACTAAGCATACTTAATGGTAAATTTTTTGAAGTACTTCAAGATGATCATAATAAAGAAATTCATCGTGACTTTGGTATTGACGAAAAAGTTATAGCAACTGTTACAGATAACGGCTCTAACTTTAAGAAAGCTTTCAAGGAGTTTGGATATTCTATGGAAGCTGTAGAGAATGACTTTGACATCAATGATGATGAATGTATAGAATTCGAAATCATTGAAAGTATTATTTAATACTTCTTTAAAATTTATTATGATATTGTAAATTTAGTAAAAAATTTTATTCAAATAAAATTATTTATTTGTTTATTTAAGGGTCTAAAGAAGCCTCAATAACATTGCCTCAACACATTCGTTGTTTGTGCCATACGATAAGTCTAATTGCCACAACAGATGTCGAGAGAGCTATTAAGGATTCTCCTAACATTTCTAAAATTCATCATCCTGCTATAACTAAATGTACTAAGCTATGGAATGCAAATAATAGGCTTAAAACTGCAGAACTTATCAAAGCAGTTTTAGGAAAACAATTAGTTACACCTTGTTGCACTAGATGGAATAGTTTGTATGATAGTCTTCTTAGTTTATTAAAATTTAAAGGCGAACTTCCTAAATTATGTCAAAAATTAGAATTGAGATATTGAAATTCAATATTTAGAAGAATATTGCAATATAATGGCCCCATTGGCTATAGCGATTGACAAAATACAGAGTGAAATCAACTGCTATTATGAAGAATCAGCTCTAATTTTAAATGTCGTAAAAAATAATTACAAATTTAATTCAAACCAATCTACAATTTTGCAAACCATTAGCTATTGCCATAGAAAATTATTTAAATAAAAGATGATTTTGATAACAATTTTAAAAGTGCATTTTTGGCAACTATTTCTCATCCCGATTTTAAAAATCGTTGGATTGATGGTGAAAAAGAAAAAAAATACTTTCAGGATTTGTTATTACATGAAGTTTTAATTGTTTTTAAAAATAATATTGAAATTAATACTTCAACAAAATCTTCAATCGATGAAGATGATGATTACTTTTGCCTTAAAAGTACCACATCCAATTCTAATAATTCAATAAATGATATTGAAATAGAGGTCCTAAATTATATGAAAGATGACAGGCGGAGTATAAATATGTTAAATAGTTATAAATATATAAAAGAAATATTTATTAAATATAACACAATATTACCCTCCTCAGCCCCCGTTGAAAGATTATTTAGCTTTGCTAATATGGTTAATAGATAAAATTGTCAAAGATTGAACGATAAATCATTTGAAAAATTAATAATATTAAAAAATAATGCTGATATATGATGCTGATTTATTATTATTAACTAATTATATAATTATTAAATGGAATATCGCATTATCTTTTATAATAAATTTGTTATTTTCTACAATTTATTTTTAATATTTTTTTATAAATTTATATTATAGATATGAAAATAAAGCTTTATACATTTTGATTTTGACTATTTAAAGTTTTATAAAAAGTATCTTGTATCTTAGATACTTTTTTTAAAAAAAATACAAGTATCTTATATCTTATTGAAATTTTTCTAAAGTATCTTGTATCTTAAATACAAAATTTTATAAAGTATCTGTATCTGTATCCGAATAATATTTTCTGAAAATTTGCCCAACCCTGTACCTGCCCCAGGCTTATTAGGCCCGTCTAATCCCTTTGTTTTAAAAAAGTATTAAAGTCCATTGTTAATTAAAAATATACAAGCCCAAGTTCATGGAAAAATTAAAAGATAGGCCAGGCCCATTAAAATTATAATTTTGGTAAGCCCGCAACAAATATACTATAATAATAACTAAACTCAACATCAATTATGTAGTTTTATTTGTATATCTTCATGGTCATGCTTTTTTTTACATAGAAATTCAAATAAGGATAAACGTTACATTATTACTTATATTGGAATGTTAAAATGTGAATAAAAAAATAAAATATATTAAGATAATATTATTATTATTTGTAGAGAAATATTTTTGTGTTCATTTCAAACAGTGGCCTGAAACGTTATCTATTAAAGTTCCTGCTCAGTGACAGTCAGCTCCTTAAACTTAAAAGATTCTGGGTTGGTAAAGATTCAGAAAAATTATAAAGGTTTTTTTGGGTCTTGAAATTTTTGTTTTATTTATTCAAATTTTTTTCAAATAAAAAAATGGAAAAACATACAATTGGATATAAAATTTGGTAAGTGTATAAGTATGCAAAGATTATAAAAAATAATTGGAAGAAGGTCATAATATAAGGGTTGAAGTTAATAATGATATAAACTCATTCAGTTTGATGCAACTAAATGAATTAATCATATCTTATTATTTTTTTAAAAAGAAAAAAAATGAAGACATTCATATGAGTGCATCATATAAATATTAAAAAATCAGTTAAAGAAAAATAAAAACTTCCTAAGGAGAATGTTACTTATCAAATATAAGGTCTTAAATTGCAATTTATATGTTTATAAGTTTTTTCCTTTTAGTGATTTGATATAAAGTTTCAGTTATTATTAAGGTTCATTCCAGTATAACAATTGGTATTACTCTGGGCACCTGTTTACAATGGTATTTACAAATTACTATAATATGAATATTCTAGGCATCAAAATTTAATTTATAAAAAAAATTATTTCAATATTATTAACATATTTAAATACTGGAGGACTGGTCTTTTACTAGGAAAGGGAAAGGATGACAAATACTCCAGCTCTTTTAGGGTCTATTGAGGTGTGAAGGTAGGTTAAGGTATATTAAGACAATTATATATTTTTATTATTTGTTCTTAGTTTTATGATTATTTACAAGCATTTCTATACCTCCCTAAGTCAATGACGATATCCTCCCCCCTAAAAAAATAAAAATTAGCTAAGAAAATGTAAATTAAATTTGGCAAAGACCATACCTTCTACTACCTTCCACCTACATTTTATCTTATTCCCCTTGCACCCTATTTTGACGACGATCTTGTCTTATACCCTTCCTCCCTCCCCTCCCCCGGTATAAGTACCTAGTATTCATATATACTTAAAGTTTTCAAAGATGTGTCTTATGATTTTTGGAAAAATTTTTCCAGTAATTACCGGGTTTTTACTAAAAGAGATAAAATAATCTGATATTTGGTTTTGCTGACTTGTGTTAGTGGTGGGTATATCCAATCAGATGAAAGGGTAGGCTAAAAATAAGTAAATAAAACTTATAAAACAATCGAGTTGATAGTGTCATCGGCATTATCCGAAACAACTGAACGGAGTTAAATAAATTCTACCAGGAGATGGTATCTGAGAAATAATTCATTTTTCTAAAGTTAAAGAGTTTATTTTTAGTTGTTCGATATATATGGCGAGATAAAGATTAGATATTATTAAAGATGATGCCATAGATAGTTGTAATAAGTGAATCTACTCATAATTTTAGGAATTTATTTCAACAAATTCCGTTTATTTTATTTGTTATTTAAAATATTTACGTTTTACCCTAATTTAATTCTTGTTAAACATATTATTAAACATAATAAATAATATATATTTAATTTTAAAATTTCTTTTTGATAAACTTTTCGTTTTCATAGTTTAAACAAAAAAAAAGAAAAAGAATCACAATAACTAAAGTAACTTCTCTAAAATTTGCTAAAAAATTTTATGAATTGAATAGTAAGGCAAACTTAAATATTAATAAAAAGATGGTCCGGACTCATAATAATTAAAAGACCGGTCCGTCAGTCGTTTTCAGACTAAGACCTTCAGGACCGGTTTGTTGACCTTCACTAGAAATTTAAGCGCCAGTAGGTATAAGCCAAATCTTACTGATTAGCTCGCACGATTTATCCAAGGTGGGGTTACCAATTCTCCCCTTTTAGCGGGGTCGTGTCTCTGAAAAATTATTTTGAATCCCAGGTTATTTTTTTATTTTGCTTTTTAAAATATATATCTTTTTATCATCTCCTTAATATTTGGGTCAATTGAAAGCACGCCAATATTTCATGCTTTATTAGTCAACGCGAAAAATTATAATCAACAAAATTTTGGCCAACCTTACTATTAAAAAGTTACTGATAGCATTTATGAAAATTTTATCAATGTTTAATGCTTAATTATATATTATAATAATCTGTTTTAATAAAATAAGAAAAAATTGGCATCATGCCAGAATGGAAAATATGGAACTAAATATCTGGTTTATGGTAATATTTGATTTACTAGTATCAAAAACATTTTATTGCTTTAATCTGTAGTAGATGATTTAAAGAATGATAATATTATTACTCAAATAAGTAAAATTTGCCAAAGCACCATGCCAGAAGGGAGAATATAAACGTTTTAAATATCTGATTAGCGTTAGTTAATTAATTCCTAAATCAGTTTTGCCAACCACAAAAAAAGATATTGAATTATAAACAAATTGAAAACTATGACATGCATTGAGTATGAAGTGAGTCAAGCTGGAAACATTAATTCTGAAACTCTAATATATAAAATAATTAAAAAGATGATAATTTTTAAATAAAAATATTAATATATATATATATATTAAAAATAAAATGTGAATAATTCCTTTATTTTTATCAGAGACCAGCAGATGTACCATTTGCACGGCCCGACCCAGATGGTTGCCGGATTTTATTTTAAAAAAAATTTTCGGCCCGCCCCAGGTTTTATATTTGCAGGCCCGGTCATGATTTTTTAAAATATTTACATTTTTATAGCTAATAATGGGGATTTAAAATATTCGGTTTTAATATAAACTCTGGTTAAAGTATATTAAAAGAAATTAAGACCCGACCCGGGTAATTAAAAAAATTGCAGGTCTCTGATTTTTATATAAAGCAATCTAATAGGAAGGTAACCAATATATTATATCACAAATAAAACTGTTATCATTAAGCAAGAAGTCAACCAAACTTATGGAAGCATTAACTCTGAAACTTATATAATAAAGTACGTATTTAATGTATTTTATAGCTTCAACCCGTTTCATAGATAGTTTAAAGAAAAAAACATTTTTGGCGCAAAAAGAAAAATTCTCATCATGCTAGAATTAATATTTTATAAGCACTAAAAATCTGGGTGCACTAATATGTAGCATGATTATTATTTACCAATTCATCAATCAGTTTTTCTAACCAATAAACAAACTAGTTATTAGGCAAATAATAACGGAAGCCTTTAGTGCACACGAATTGAGCGTTTACTTTTTTCTGTAATTTTTAAATAAAAAAAGTAACGCGTCCCTTGTTTAAATTGAGGTTGTCTTTTTATTAATATTGGTCGATTCAAAATTTTAATAAGTTCTAAAAAAATTTGTCTTTGAAAATTATATTATTGTCTGCGTTCTTATTTCTTTAATTTTTAAATATTTCTTTTTAGGATATAAGTAAATTTCTATCACATTTTAATATAATACAAAACGAAGAATAAAAAAGTATTGAAAAAGCTTACCTGTTTGCCTTTATAAATGGTTGCTAACGCCAAACGGTAATTTTACCAATTTACACGAGGCCACTTGAAAGACAAACGCAACGTTTGAAACACTCAATTTGTTCTTACTATTATGCTGAGTCTTAAATAATATGGGATTTTAAATTACAATTATTAATTACGCTTAAGTACATTAAGGTTCCCTATATAAAATAACGATATTTATAGATATCATTTGTTCTTTTCTGTATATTTAACAGATATAGAAGTAAAATAGCCAACATTTCATATTTTCATTCTCTTTATATTTTCAATATGATATCCTAAGCATGTTCTTCAAAACTTTGAAAATACTAATGCTAAAGCTTAAGCCAATATATATAATTAACGGTTAAAATTTATTTTAAAAGCTTTATCAATGTTTAGTGCTTAATTAGTATGTTATTTTAACCCTTTTTGTGTATAAGGTAAAAAACTTATTAATTAAATAAGAAAAAATTAGCATCATGCCAGAAGGAAAAATATAGCATCTACTTTGCATGAATATTTAATGCCTAATTATTACTTTTTTCAACTAGTTTTGCCAACCAAAAAAAGTAAACCTAGATATAAACAAGAGGATATCTATGATATATTGCATTAAGCTTGAGATTAGCCAAAATTTTGGCAAAGCCAATTCTGAAATTTATGCCAAACTATTAAGTATTGCTTGATTAATCTCCTTAAATCCATTTGGTAGATGGTTAAAGGGGAAAAATAATGTGTACTTATTAATTAATCAATCTCAATCAGTTCATTTCCCAGCCAATAAAAAATATAGTTATAAGCTAAATAAAAAATATAGCGTCACGCCTTAAGCTGCATCACAATATCAGATTTTGAATCGTGTTTCAAAAATCCATTACACATAAATATATTAAAGTGTCCTTTTCCCCGTTTCGAAATATTTGTAAATTTTACGATCTTTATAGATATTAATTGTTCTTTTCTGTTTATTTAATGGATAGCGAGATTAAAGTCATAATCTCATATTAAGACACAGCCTTCATGAAATTTGCCATCAATTTTTTTTGGTTGGAATTGATAAAAAAGTTATTAGCAAAATAAGAATTCCAGAATTGGCATCAAGATTTAAGATAGAACGAAAAATGTAGAAACGCCAAAAGCAATTATGAAAATTGTTATTTGATCTATAATACTTAAATGAGCCAGCCATGCATTATACAACATTAAATTGAATTCCGTATTATAATACTATTGTAACATTATTTTTATAATTTATTAGCGGTAGCGTAATAATATTCAATTAAACTTATGGCATCTTTGGAAAATATGATGCCCAAATAAGATGGATTCGTTAGGTTAAAATGAAAACGAACAAAGGTAATGATCTCTAGATCCCTCTTTTTTACACCAGTGGATCGGCCTCTAAACTAATCTTTATTTTTTGGTTAATTTGACACGACACCGTTGACATTTACCCAAATTAAAAATATCAATTATTGTAAGATTTTAAATTAAAATTTTTTAAAAGCCTGACAAAACAAATGGTTGTAAAATATCACAAGATTTAAAAAACAAAGAATTAGATGAAAGTGAATGTGGAGTAATTGAAATGGACACACCTTCAATCTATTTCGATTTCAAGAACTACCTAACAAACATTAACGATTTTAACAATAAAAAATCTATAGATGAAGAATTCAATGCGAATTCCTTATTCATAAAGCATTTCCCTGAATTGACTAATGCCTTGACTCATAAGACTACTCATAAAAGATTTAAAGGTGGTAAGAATAATACCCAAAATATTAGGAGCCTTATGGACGAAACGATTATATTACCTTTTCTGCCACCTCACGGTGGTTTAATCCAGATTGAAAATCAATTACGTCAGCTTCATAAGAGGATTACTTCTCGATCACAAACAGCAAGTTTGTATTTGAAGAATTTATGCTTATACTGTAAGGCTTAATAACTTAACTTAAAAATAGGAAAACGAAAAAAACTATAGAAATTGAAAACATTTTTTGATAACAATTTTTAGTTAAAATTTAGAATCATTTTTAAATAGTTGATTTAATATTCTTCATTTGCGATAAATGAATGAAAATTTTGTTATGATAAATGTTCTTTCTATACAGCATTAACCAGGAATCACCTAATTCCCGATAAAATGTTGACCAACGAGAAATCAGCATTCATTGCCATAAACGAATTTCAGGATTCTGGGCTGAACATTCCTCATCCTAGCACCAGCCATCTTGATCAATTTCCGAGATTGCGTCTCCTTGCCACTAAAGAATTGTTGAATAGGGATGGATTTCCCGTGGGACCTAGGTAAATTATATCGGCTTGTATTTCGAAATATAAAAGAATAAATGTTTATCTTATAATTTTCATATTTTTATTATATTGGTGAATTCCATATCAAATCAACCAAGGTTTCAACCCCCTTCAATTTTTCTTAAATTTTGTATACTGGTAGTATATATTATAACTAAGAAAAAATAAAATTTTAACTTCCAACACTGTTTACCCGCTAAGATATGGCCGTTTAAAGCGCGGAAAAATGGTACATTTTTGACAAAATGCACTTCATTTATTTTCAAATATCTCAAGAAATAATTAAGTTAGAAAAATAATTTAATTTTTATTTTGTAGCTTAATAAAAGTTCTTTAAAATGACATAAAAATAAATATGATAGACATTTGATTAATATCGAAAACCAGATGTGTAAAACCGGAAATGGCCATAGAAAAAAAATGTATTTTTTTTCTGTAGATAGATATCACACTCCTTTATATTTGTACAAAATTCTAGATTGGGATGAACATGGGTTTAGGAGTTATCACTCTTTATATGGCTAAAATTGAACAAATTTAACATTAATATCATCATATTTTAATTTAATGAATAGTTATGAAATAATGTTAACTTAAAAATTATGTCTAAATGATAGGCCCTTACTTTTTTTTATCTTTATCAAAATTTTTGAGAAGTGGCTGGAATAATGAGCTTTGTTTAACACTTTAGTTAAATTTTGTCTAGAAGTTACTTGACAAAATAATTCTAAACATATTTATAACTTTATTTGCCTCAAATTGCATTACATATAAATACAATCAAAAATTTATAATTAAAATATATCATATATTATAATCATCCGAGGAATTTTAATAAATTATTACTTTTGTTTTCGTCTATGGCAATAAAAGCTTGGAACTTTGTGTTCCAGAAATTCTCTTTGCTCTCAAAAATCTGCTTTCAAGATGACTTTCTATGTTCATATATTCATTATTGCTTACAATATAATTTACCCCTTTGATATTATTTCTTGCATAGTTAAATAAATCTATTGTTGTCAATATGTGATGTTCATATGGACGTTGCAAGCTTGCTCGAGCTGCTAACCGTTTAGTAACGGCCCCCAAAATGTCGCATGGACTTTTACCTTGTGCGGTTTCAAAAAATGTCACTCAGCCTTTATTCCAAAATCATTTTCATGATTGTAGAGAATAATGAAATCTTTTATTTTTATATTGGTTACTGCTCCATCAGAAAAATAATAAATTTTAGCCACTCTATTAAATCCTTCCTTCAAAAATACGATTAATTTTTAAAATAAATAAAATGCACATGCGTTGTGCTTTAAACAATCTGATATAACCAATAAATTTACATGTTTTATTATGTTGTTCTTACGGTAATAAATTATAAAAGAGTTGATAGTGGCTTGATTATTTATCTGATTACATCCTTGTGCATGGTTCTGCACTACAAATGCATAATTTTCTGAAAAGTCTGCAATAACTAAGAATTCGCTAACATTTAAATTGAATTTTAAAAAGTTTCGAATTAATGATTATCGTGAAGCTATAAACAAATGAGGAATTAAATTGTTAATTATTCAATTAAATAATCTACAAATTCGTCAGAAGTTTTTGTCAGTGTTTCGAGGGTAGTTCGATCAACTGCTATCCATTGTTTGAATGTTTTATAATCTATAGAATTCTCGTCAAATAATTTATTAAGCCTTTCTTTTAATTTTAAATGTATGGGGAAAAATTTATTGTTGAATTTCAATTTTGGTAGATTATTTTATGCTAAATAAAATATTTAAAATTATTTTTGTCAAGTAATTTAAATTTCGAGATAAAATTTAATTAAAGTTTTAAACAGCTCATTATCCCAGCCACCCAAAATTTTTTTATAAAGATAAAAAAAAGTAAGGGCCTATCATTTAGACATAATTTTTAAATTAACATTATTTCATAACTATTCATTAAATTAAAATATGATGATATTAATGTTAAATTTGTTCAATTTTAGCCATATAAAGAGTGATAACTCCTAAACCCATGTTCATCCCAGTCTAGAATTTTGTACAAATATAAAGGAGTGTGATATCTATCTACAGAAAAAAAATCTTGAAAAAAAAAATCTTTTTATTTCTATGGCCATTTTCGGTTTTACACATCCGGTTTTCGATATTAATAAAATGTCCATCATATTTATTTCTATGACATTTTAAAGAACTTTTATTAAAAATAGAATTTTTAATAATTTTTCTAACTTAATTATTACTCGAGATATTTGAAAATAAATGAGGTGCATTTTGTCAAAAATGTACCATTTTTCAGCGATTTTAACGGCCATATCTTAGCAGGTAAACAGTGTTGGAAGGTAAAATTTCATTTTTTTTCTTAAATACCAGCAAAATTTAAGAAAAATTGAAGGGGGTGACTTTTTTTTGTTGATTTGATATGGAATTCACCATATATATATTTATGGTTTTATACTTTTTCAAATTGAATATTTTCGTAATTTTATTTATTTATTTTCGTAATTTCTATCAATATATTAAAACAAATTTATAATTCAAATATATTTAATTTTTTAAAAAAATAATTAAAAAATAATTATAAAAAAAAATTAATTGAAAAAAAGATTAATGATGATTTTTCCCTTTTTTAGGGTTTTTAACCGACAAAATTTTTTCCCGGGTTCGGTTCGGGGTATAATAAATAAAGGTGGGTTCGGTTCGGGTTCGGTTCAGGGAAATATTTTTGAACCCGGGTTTCGGTTCGGGTTCAAGAATTTTTGAGTTGATAAAAAAAATTCTATATTTAAATCATAATAAAAAACTAGACAAAATTTGATATAAAAAATAAATTCTTTATTTTATTTATAGGCAAATATAGTTAAAAATACAAATCATATAGTCATGTATCAATTTTAAAAATTTTATTTGGACGTATTAGCATAATATCTTCCAAGAGTTGTTCACTCATCCTCGATCTATGTGGTGAAAGAATGAATTTCAAATGTGAAAAGATCTTTCAACGCTAACCTATGTTAAATGTATTTATATGTGAAAATATGATAAATTAACTTGGGTTGCAGGAACAGCAAATAAGATTTTAGATAAAATATATAATTCAGGGTGTTCCAGCTTAGCAGACTCCCAAAAATGCAAAATATTTTCCTTCTTATCTAATCTTTTATAATCGCTAAATCCAGTAATTATTGTTCCAATACTTTTCTCAGCAATCGTTGGCCCTCTTTTAAGTATTTTCTCCTGCCTTTCTTTAAGTTGTATCAATTTCTCTAAATCATCTTCTTGATAACTTCATCGGAACTAATATCATCAGATAAAATCGGCGTTGTTAAGCTTTTAATTCGTCTCCATAAATTGACAAGATGCCTTTTCGCACAAATCTTATCATCATCACTAAGTAATACCTGTAATATTTAAGGATTTATATTGTTTATATTTAAATATTCCATAAAATAACAATTTTAATATAAATCTAAAATAATTAATTTACTAAGCTTTTAATTAACCTTGTATCTTGGGTCCAGGTATATGGCAGCTAAGAGAATTTCGTTCTTTATAAACCTTTCTTCTCTGTTCTTAAGACAAGAATATAGTAATTGAGCAAAATGGTTTGGATTTTTTTCCAGTTCGATGCAGCATCTTAACCATGCTGCATAAAAATCTGTCAGTGTTAACTGTTCAGATTGGAATTGTTTGGTTGCGATTTTTAGCGGTTCTAAAATTTCAACAATCGTTATTATCTCTTTCCAATCTTCAGTCAATAAATAATCAGATTGCTCTGAAAAAAAATCTTCGATATTGGGTTTTAGTAAAATCAGCCTTTCTAACATCATGGGTTGAATGCCATCTGTGGCAATCTAACACAAGCTTAGGGAGTTTCATATTTTTTAATAACTTTTGGTAAGTGGGATGTCTTAATTTTAAATTTAGGCTCCTAGCTTTTGCAATGGTTTCCACAATAGGTGATAATTTTATAGCATCTTGAAGTGCCAGCTGAAGTGTGTGAGCTGCACACCGTACACTATAAATCGGATAGGATATAATAGTTGATAAAAAAGTATTTTGTATATCATCAATATCATATTTATATACATTTACATCCATATTTTCCTCATCTGCTGATTCACTCCTTATATCATAATCAGTTACAGGTTGCAGGAGCTTTATAGCTCTTAAAAAAATTACAACCATTATCAGAAGTAATTGTGTATATTTGTTCAATATTAATTTTAAATTTTAGTAAAGTTTTTAATATATTCTCTTTTATATATTCTCCTGTACATCTCTCTTTCAGCTCTACAATTCCAAGATTCCTCAAATTTATAATGGATTTTGATATAAATTGAATATTTACACAAAGAATTGACCTATCTAGTCGTTGAACTGCATCAACTTTTATACTTATTAATTTTCCTTCTACCTCTCTCGATATTTTGTCTCTAATTGATTGGGCTGTTTTATTAAGAGTTCTGGATAAATTTTCTTTGTTTATAACTAAATTGAGCCAAGATAGGAGTGGATTTATAATTCTTTGAAATCCCGAATCTTCAATAATTGATAAAGGCCGGCCATTTACAGTAACAAATTCTAGTATAGAACTCATCAAATCATTAGATGATATATTTATACTTATATGCTTTTTTGGAAAAAAGGTTTCTATATTAATTTTAGGTTTTTTTGCCAATAACAATTCCTGATATTTGTTTTTTCATTTAAATAATTAAAATATTCATTGTTGTGATTTCTTTCCAGGTGTCTTTCTAAATTTGACAAGTGATTACCAGACATTTTTACTTTGCAATATGAACATATTGATTTTTTTTCTATTGTATTAAGGGTATGCTTATCAAATATGACTTTATCTTTAATCTTAAATCTATAAAAAATAGCAATGATTTCAGAATTAAAAAAGAGATATTTATAAATTTAATTTCATTTATAATATGCACTTCATTAATATCTTGTAAAAATTAATCTGAACCAAAAATAAATGATTAGCATATATAAATTTTAAAATCATTTTAATAAGTTCACAAAAACTGCCCTACATTTAACAATTTTTAAGTTAGATGTTTAGAATTTTTTAAATTAACAATATAATAATTTTTACTTTGATTTGTTAACCATTTTCTTCTAATTAATAATCTTTAAGAATAATAAGATAAAAATTTAAAAATAAATGGCGTAAATTAATTCAATTGTTTAAAATTTTTTAACACTCCAATAGGAATCGAGAATAAATTTAAAAATGGCATAAATTAATTAAGTTGTTTAAAATTTATTAACACTTCATTTAATTGGAAATTTGAAAATATAATATTTGTATTTACATATATTAATATATGATTTTAAATAATACACTGAACCCGGTTGAACCCGGGTTCAAATAAAATTCTTGGGTTCGGTTCGGGGTTTTGAAAATTTTATAAATGGGGTTCAGGTTCGGTTCGGGTTCATAGTTTTTTTCTAAAAACCCGGGTTCACTTCTCCGGGTTCGGGTTCGGTTCGAATCCCTGGTTTTTATATTTTTTAAATTTTTACAAATAAATAAAAATTTATTAATAATCAAATAAAAATAATATTTTTTATTATAATTATGACTCACGAAAATAATATTATTATGACGATGACTCAATAAAATGATATTATAAATTTTTATGACGATGACTAAATTAATATAAATTTTTATAACGCTAAAAATAATATTATATTTTTTATTATCTATGAGAAATAAATAAATAAAAAGAAAATTTATATATAATATTTAGTCCGCGTTCTATTTTTTTGAATAACGAGTAACGTTCTTTTTTTTCACAAAATAACGGATAAAAGTAACCTGCTTTCCTTTTCTATGTTAACGATTAACGTGTTTCTTTTTTGAAGTAATGTTTACAGCACTAATTTTTATATATAATTTCTTACCTATGTTAATCACTGAAAAGTCTTCTTGCTTTAGACACACTATGCCAAAAAGCCGTTTATGGCTCAAGTTTAACTCAATCCGATTTGACTGGCTCAAGCTAACCCTACAGATTACATGATAAATTTCTATAAAAATCGAAAGGGGTCGGCAGAATCGTGATTGATTTGGTATGGAATGAGCCAAATTTTTCATAGCCTTTACCGTTTCCGAGCATATAACATTGTGCCAAAACTAAATAACTTTTCTACTTGAATTGATGAAAATGTTGCAGTATTATATTTAAAACAAAATTCATAATAGAGATAATATTTAAATGTTTCTAACGTATTTCAGATAATTCATTCCTCTAGCTCAATGTTATTTCTATTATTAAATTCGGAAATATTTGTTTCACTAAAAAATAATAATAATATTTCATTAGTTATTATATGTTAAATCTGATCTTATAGTTTGATTTGATACTATTACCAAGCTGGTAATCGATTCTTTTGAAGAATCGAATTTCGATCACGTTCTTTTCAAAAAAGGGATCGAAATCCCGAATCTACTTTTTTTAAAAAAGGATCACGATCCTTTTCCTATTTTATAGATTTCTGAAATTTATGCTCGATGCAAAATTGACTAATATAAAAATAAAATATATAACAATAATTTATAATCAAAATTTTTTTAAATTATTATTTTTTAAATTAAGAATATGTTTAGCTTTATTAAACAGCGCTCCACAGGAGCGCTTTGGGTTATATTCAATAATTTTTTAAAATTTATGTAAGTATAATATTAATTGAATTATCATTTGAATAAAAAAAATTATTAAGGGAAAGTGCATGAAGAATTTTTTCAAAGAAATTTTTAATTTCATCCATATAATCATTTGAATAAGCACCTGATTGTGGTTGATCCTACATATTTTCCAAATTACTAATTACCCTTTCTTTTGTAAGCTTAAATTTTGGGTGAAATATTGCTGCTAACATACAACTCTCCTAATACAATGAAGGAAATATATATTAAAATGTTAATTAACAATATAAGGAGCTGAGGAAAAGGTTCTTATTTATATCTGTAACTTCAATAACTGTATATGGTATTATTCAGGATCTATAATACACATTAGTAAAGACCTGAAATATTTTATTTTTAATTCAATAAATAAAACTTGTAGATTGTAGATACGGCTGTGCCGATCCACATATTTTTCACCAATCCGATAATTATACTGATTTCCCCCCCCCTCCCCTTTGAACCAAATGTAAAGAAATCAATATTTTTTTACAAAAAATCAAATTATGCATTTAATTTTTTTATTTCTACAATTAAGACTATAATTAAAAAAAAGAAAAAGAATGATATAAATATAACATTTCAGAACTTTTTTATCTAGTTGTCTATGTTCCAGTAGCTAAAATCATATTGTCTGTGGATTTAGAATATTTTGTAAGTCATTATAGCCCAATTTTAGTAATCATTTCCATTATCCATGAAGCTTCGTCTAGTTTGATATCTAGTTTAACAATTCTCCTCATTGTTGATTGATCCATTTGGTCAAAATTGTAAATTCCACTGCCACCATGTTAAAGGCTGGCAGGGAGTAAGGAAGATTAAACAAAAAGATTTAAAACTTTTATTAAATAAATATATTTTAAAAATATTACAACTGAAAAATATAATAAATTTATTCTTTATATATACAAAAAATCTATTAAACAATTAAATGAAACTATTAAGTTAAGTTACGTCATAATAAGCGCAATCGCCCTTTATCGCTATATGAAACAGCAGAGCTACGTTTGGACTATCTCGTCCCATCTAATTGGGTTAAGAAATTTAGGGGTAGCCTATGAGATGAGCCCATCCACAATTTTTGGGCAGGCTGCAGTTACCTGTGCGCGCAAGAGGCGAAACCACTTGTTTAAACGCCTACGGGAGATAAGAAGAGAGAGAAAAGCCCGTACCCGATTAAGTAAAATGTATATTATAGGGAGGGGTATTGATTAATTAAGTTTATGGTCTATATTGAATTTGTTTATTTAATATGAATATGATATATTTTGTTTATTTAATATGAATATGATATATTTTGTTAATAAACCTGCCTTACTACTTAAGAATATTAGCTTAAAGGGGTGATAGTATAAGTTAAGTATATTTTGGATAGTTATATCAAGGTTAGGTACATGAGGAGTTTTATAAATAAATAAATGTATGTTTACCAAGGCGGGAGGAAGGTGGTGCTTATGCTAATGGGGGGGGGGCTGAAAGATTTGGATGGTGTAGGTAACTGGATTTGATTTTTAGAAGCTTTTTTATTGAGCCTTTATTATTGTTTAGACGTATGAATTGTTCCATCGTCAGATTTAGGCTTATGACTTCTTTTATCGTTCTGTACAGCCAACTTGTAGTTAATATAAATGGTGTTAATTTAATGAATGTAAGATACAAAAATTTGCGCTATATAATAACCTTTATAATAAAATAATAATCCATGTTTAACATATTTCATATTTTTTCCTTCTTTGCCAAAAATATATTTATTAATATGTGAAAAAGAATTAAATTTCGGAAATATGTTTACAATCTCACGAATAGGGGTAGTGAATACAAATACACTTCTTTTTTTACTTAAAGGCAACTAGTTCATAATAGAGCACTGCATGGACAGGTCCGATTCAATTGAAGATTCGGACTTGAAAATAGGTATGCAGGACTCTAGCTTCTTGCTAATAAACTATTTTGTTAAACAATTTTAATTATTTTTACTTTGACTTAGATCTATTTAGCCCTCTAAATTTTATTCAATGCCAATTAATTTATAATAATAATTGAAGAGATGAAAAAAACTCCCCTCATCGCAATTTTATATACTCCATGCCCGACGGAATTTATCCAGCTCTTAGATCCGACATACCCCTCCTAGCTATCGATTGCGAAATGTGTGTCACTTATACTCACAACAATAAAGAAGGTTCAAATCATTTTTTTAAATTTTGTTTAATGTATTCAATTTTTTTTATTGATACTTTTTATTTATTTAAAAAAATGATAAAATACTAAAATATTAAAACAAGTATATAAAATATGTAAAATTACTAAATAAAAATAAATATATATTATAAGTATCGAAGGCTCTAAAAAGAATTTAATAATGAATATGTACCTAAAAAACAAGTATAATTGTGTTTAAAAATTTCTAGTTAAAATTTTTGTTTAAGAAATAAGGATTCGCGATTTTCGTTTGTTGTGTAAAAAAATTTTCGTGATAAAGTTTTAAAAAATATATATGTAGACTGTGAAAAATTGCCGTTAGTTGATATGACTATTGGCTGAAATATAAAGTTATTTAATTTTGAATATTTATTAATTTTTTTATTTTCCCCACATGTAAGAGGGTTTGAATTAATTGATGAAAAAAAGGAGGAGACGCAGGTTGCGTCCCATATAAGGGATTTCTTATTGGACCAGGGGGTGCAGGTTAAACCGTCGGGTTTGAGGCCTTCCTTTAATAAGGTTGGTAGGTTCAAGGATGTTGGGTATTTTAGCCTTATTAAAAGCGTTATGGATGATTTTATTATTTGCTTTATGCCGGAGATGGCGACCTTAACTGCGGGTGCAGTTTAGGCCGTGTCTGGCGTTAGGTAGAACGGGTAAGCTGCATTGGTGGCAAGTGTGTGACTGTGTAAGCGAACATCCAAGTCTAAATCCTATAGTAATTCTCAGTTGGTCATTGGTTAAGAGATTATCTAAGGTTGGCTTGGAAGCTTCGAGCCATTCATACCCGCCGTATTTATCGTTGAATTGTAATAGTTGTATATTGCTAATATCTGTAGGGTTAAGACTATTTTGTAATTTCTTTATTAGGGGTTCGATGATAGATTTATTAGAGATTTAGGTTGGAAATTAATAACCGTCTGGGGTAAGTAGATTCCATCTTTCAAATGCTGCTGTTAGAAGATCATCATTGAGAGTTATGAATGATGAGATCGCAGAATTGAGCGATTTGAGTTAAATAGAGATAGGGAAAGTAGTTCCAAGGGGATCAAGTCGATACCACTTAGTTTAGCGGGTAATTGGGCTAGGTGTCAATTATAGTCTGATAATGAAAGGTTGAGAATCCTTTCTATAAAGGTCTTAGCGAATATTGTGTTGAACGAAAGATTTTGAGTAGGAGGATGAGTGGAAGAGATGCGAAGGTGCGATGGAATGTGATTGATGAACTTTTCCAAGTTTTGCATCTCAGAAAAGGTTTTATCGATAATTTTTTTGGATATATTATTATTGACTAATGTGGAGCCCAAGAAATGGATCTCTTCTTTTTCGATAATAGTGTAACCTTTAAATAAATCTAAGGGAATCTCAAGGTTGAGGAAGCATGTTTTAGTTTTGTTTAATTCTAAAACCAATTTTAGAGCATTCTCTTTCGAGGTAGTTAAGGGCTTTGCTAATTTGATGTGGATCACCGCAAAGGGTGCCATCATCTAGGATAGGTTAAGTTCTAGGTCAAAATCATATTTAAGATCTTTCATCATATTGTGGATTGCTCAGCAGAAAAGAATAGGGCCGAGGGGGTCGCCTTGTTGTAATCCCTCTTCGGAATATATAACGCTACCATTAAAAATGAGGGGAGTGCTATTGTTATAGCAGATGTATTCGAAGCACCAGTATTGGGGGAAATTATCATAAAAGATTCGATAGCCGAGGAACGTGATATTGTATTGAAGGCATTTTTAAAATCGATTTTGCATAAAATGGAGTTTATCGGTGGATGTTGAAGGTAGATTCGTAGGCTGTGAGAGGCTATATTTACGCCTCCTTTAGTTCTGCATCCTAATTGGTATTTGCCAAACAGGGAATCAGTATCGGAATTTTTTTTGCAATAATTTTAGCTATCAGGCTTCTGAAAAGTAAACCGATTGCGATTGGGCGGATGCCTCCATTAGGTTTTTCAAAATCAATCAAGTTAGCTTCAAATATAATTTGATGAGCTAATGTGGGAATATCTTTATTAGTTATATTATTAAGGAAGGTGGTAAGTGAGTTAAAAAAATTATTGGAGTTATGAGATTTTAGAAATTTGGAAGTAAGATGGTCTATGGCCATCCAGGCCTGCTGCTGAAAATTTATTAAATTCACTTATTGTTTTGCGAATATCTTGGTTGGTAATTATGAAAGGGGAGATATTGAGCGGTTGGTTTGGTAAGCTAGTATAAGAGGCATGTGGATGAAGGGATTTTGGGTTGTCAGGGGTCACGTCGTTAGATGGCGAGTTTTGTTTGTGAAGAGATTAATTTTTGTGCACCGCATATGTCGCCTTCATTTATTTTTTTGGATATTTTGTTGCAGGTATTACTGAAACTTTCATTTGAATTGTTGAGATTTTTAACGTTATCTAATAGTGTTAAATTTCAGTGAGATACTAGTGATTTGTTATTTACATGTATGTGTTTGATATTAATTGGGGGTTTTATTAGTTTTGTGCAAAGTGTATTAGAACCTGAGCAAGGGAGGGCTTGGGGGCCATGTTTGTATAAATGACCATCTTTTTTTAAATTAATAAGTTTATGACAAATTGGGCAGATTCCTTTCATGCTAATGATGAGTAGATGGTTTAATATCTGAGAAGTTTGTTACTTTGAGTCTAAGACAAAAACATTGGAGTGTACATTAATTATTTTAATGTGGGAAAGAGAATTAGAGGAAGAAGATGTTTTTGAATTATATAAAAATATTAGATAACTGCAATAAAGTATAAAATGCTTAAAATATTTAGGAATAATAGTAAAAAAAATTCAAGTATAATAATAGCATGCATAGTCATGATTAGACCTGTGCGCCGAGAGCATAATCGGTGGCGGTGTTTCTTTTTTCAACGATCGGCTAGCGGCGGCAAATCGATTTAGACGCCGCCACAAAAATCGGCTGCGGCGTCAAATATTTTTATAACTTAAATTTTTTAATAAAAATTATAAAATCATGAAACACTTAAAAATAAAATCTATGCTTTATTATGTTTATAAATAATTTAACGATTTTATTAAGTTATAATTATCATGTATAAATATTATTTTATTTAGATTTATAAGACATTATTGATGATCTTTTAGAGATCAGAGTGAACCCAGCTATGGAAAATAAACGCTTGCTGGGTGTGCTCGTAGGTGGAACGCACAGGACCTTTCTAGCTAATATTAAAAGATTAGGAAGATCGAATGTTCTTATTTTCCAAAATTCTAAGACATCTTTTATCTCTAAATTATAAGGCCAAAATATAGAATAACACTCTTTTTCTAGACTAGTTAAATAGTCTTGTTCCAGATTATTGTTGTGAATAGATGAATATTTGGTAGCCATTGACTATAGATAATCGAATTCTGAAGCAACTTCCGTCGTTTCACATTCGGTTAATTAGTCCTTGTAAGGCAACAGAGAGGTAGCGTGTTGACATAAAAATTGTACCGGAGTTTTTTTTAAATATTCATTTACTATGTTCATAGATTGAAAACGAGGATCCAAAAGTGCTCCTAACACCTAAGTAAAAATAAAACAAAGAGAAATAATATAAAAAAAACTAATTTATGTATTTTAAAATATTACCTGAAGATCGGTTATTATAAATCTATGATCAATTTAGTAAGCATATTTTGTTTAAGGGATGCTATGGGATGACTATCATATACTTATACGATTAAATGATTTTTAATTTCACTACTAAATATTAAAGATATATTTATAGTAAATCCTTTTTGGGCGGATATAAATTCAACAGTTTTTTGAAGGTTTTAAGGAAATTTAAGAGATCACACACCAAGTCTTAATCGGATTAAATAATTTGAGATCCGGTTTCTCCATTCTATTTAATAGAATTATTATAGGATTTTGGTTATTGCCACTCACACTTTCCAGCATTATTAAAATACTATGCCAACGTTTAGACACATTTAATTTCAATTTCTATGTTTTTTCTCATATGATTTTAGATTTGCACTATCATCATTAAACCCAAGACGATTTTCATAAAAAGGATCATTATCATACAAATCTAAAATATCCTATGTAAATGATATCGATTCAAAACATTTCCCATTTTCGATATTGTTTATATTTTCAATATCCGCTGTTTTGAATCTTAAGAAAACTATAATTTCTCTCACTTTTTTAATGAGATTTTCTATTTTATAAACTTTTTTTTATTCCATCGACTGTCACTAGATTATGTAATCCATGCTCCAAAAACATAAATAATGGTCATATTCTCTTAAACGAACACTCGTCCTGCATCTGTAACCATTTGAATTTTCTTGGACCCATAATCCAATTCATTTATATCTTTTTCTATCTCGGAAAGAATAGTTCAGCGTTATGTTTTTGAGTGACATAATGTGTCGCCAATGTATAAAATACAATATTAAAATTATTATCTATTTCATGAAATATAAAGGTAATATAATTTCGCCGTCTATAATTGTTGGTTCACTTATCAAAAGTTATTGCACAAAATTTTGGATCTATATTAATTTGCTGACATATGTATGCTTTCGCTGATAAATACATATGATCTAATCCACTCCGGTTACTTGTTGTTCTATCTGGTAAATCTTTTGTACCTGAAATAATGCCATATTTCTACATAATAAAAAGTTAATATTATAAAAACATGATGCCTTAATAATGCCATATTTCTACATAATAAAAAGTTAATATTATAAAAACATGATGCCTTAAAAAATTCTAAATGTGGGATGAGATCAGTTTTATTTAAATATTTTATTATAAAATAATTAGATATTTTAACAGTTAAAATAAAAATTAAGATTTCAATAAAAAAATTATAATTATTTTACAAATGACCTTTAGAAAATCTTGCATTCCAGAATTATTTTTAGAAGTGAATGACATTAAATCCTTGCAACACATGAGAACATAATTCCTTGCCAGAATCCATTTTTTTTCTTTTATTGGGTCAGTTGTATCTTTTACAATGGGTTTGAAAAATAATTTTAAATTTTGTTTAGATATTTCTTCTTTACACTATAAGTCATGTTTGTCAAGTAAATGTTTTATTATGTTTGATTACTGATATTTTTTGAAAAAGATTTTATTGGATAACTAATTAAAAAATTCACAAATATTTTAAAAATAATATATATATCACGCCGCCTAATTTTTACATCGGCGGCGGCGTGTTGAGCGCTGACACTTTTTTACGGCGGCGTCATATTTAACCGGCGGCGTAGGTCTAGTCATGATTAAAATAAAAACATATTTAATATATAGTTAAAAAATATATGAATGTCTATCAAGATGACAAATGTCTCATTCGGGTTTCGGCGGTCGATGAAACTCTGACCCCAGTGTACGATCAGCTAGTTAAACCTGATGGCCCTGTCAAAGACTATCTTACCGCCTGGTCTGGATTGACTGAAGATGATTTGATTGACGTTACCATCACTTTGAAAGATGTACAAAGGGATATAGCCAAGATGATACAACGGGATAAGAGGGGTGAGTCTAAATACAGCTTTTATGATTAAAATTTTTTATAAGCGAATTATTTAACCCTTCACTACAAAGGTGGGGTAAATAATACCCCACGGCTTTTATAATCTTATTAATTAAAAATCCTGAAGATAATTTGACCTGATTTTTATAGTAGTTTAATATTTTGTTATAAGGAACATATCTACCAAATTTCAAAATAATTGATTTGATATTTTTTAAAATATTTGCAATTTGTTGAGCTTGGGGTAGTATAGGTCCCACCTTTGTACTTACGAATTTTTTTTTTATTAATTAATATTATTGTATATTACAAACTAATATATTAAATTGAAAAAAAAATTTTATTTATAAATTTTTCATTGTTATATTGTGACACAAAATTTTAAAATTTTATACTATTTTTTTTTCTTGTGGAGCTAAATACTATAAAACGAGCATATGGATAATTTAATATCATCAAGTTCTGGAAGTATTTTCTATTTAATATTTGATATTTATAACATTTTATATAGGTGAAGTAGATTCTGAGTCAAGTGATGATTATTTATATGACAGCAATCACAACTCAGAAACAGAGGAAGATGATATAAGTGATGAGTATGAAGATAATTATAAATATTGTTACAGTAAAATATGCTATCTTTTAATAAGTTATATAAAAAAATTAAGGTAAAGATGGCAAAATCAAGTGGAATAAAGAATGTCTGCCTCAAAAAAGAACTAGATCCCATAATAATTTCTTGTTTGCCAAGGGTTAAATCACATGCAAAAAATGCAAAATCCCCCCTAGAAAGCTTTAAACTTCATCTCAGCAATTATTACAGATTTAATTTTAAAATACACAAATCAAAAGATTGAGGCTCTTCAAAAAGATGAATATTTATCATACTAAAATGGATGAGAATGAATTTAATGCTCTGGTTGGTTTACTAATGATATGGTGTTTATAAATCAAACCATCAAAATATAAGAGATTTATGGAATAAGGATAGATTTGGTGTAAATATATTTAGATATACCATGAATATAAATAGATTCCAATTTCTATTGAAAGTTCTAAGATTTGATGATATGAATACAAGGGATGCAAGGAAAGCAAATGATAAAGCAACACATATTAGAGAAATTTTTAATATTTGTAATGATAATAAAATGATCAATTTATAAAATTATTAGCAATGGAGCTCATTACTCCATATATGATCAAAAGATATGAGAACCCTTGTATATGTAGGTTATTGGGGATGTTCTCAATATTACTGATGAAAAACCTACTTTATCAAATAAAAAAGGAAGATGCTATGATTGCCCAAGAGTAAAGGACAAAAAAACAACCTTTATTTGTTTAAATTGTTCTAAATTTATTTGTAAATATCATATGAATACTTTTTGTCGTTAATGTTATTATAAAAATTTACATGATATTTGATGATTAATATTTTTTTTTTATATTTGATTTTTTTTATAAAATTTATGTAATTATCATTATTCAACTTTGAATTAATAAAATATATAATATGATAAAACTATGATTAAAGGAAGATTTCAAAAAAAAATTTTTATTTCAGCAACTTTAGGAAAATTTGCAAAACTTTTTTTTAGAAGTAACTATTAATCTAAGATTTTTTATTTGTTATCTCCAATAATTTCTTAATATATATTCAAAATTTTAGATCTCAAACTAATATGTTCTGAGATATAGCTAATCAAAATTTGGGGTAAAATAGACCCCACCTTTGTAGTAAAAGGAGTTTTTTCCACTTTTGTAGTGAAGGGTTAATTGGTCATATCATGATCAAAAACTGATTTGAGTGACTTCATATTCCATTGAGCGTAAATTGTTTCAAATATATGTATCCTTTTGCAAATTTAATGAGCCCCATCTTTGTAAGAGCCCTTACTTAATAAATTACTACTTTTATAAAACTTATATACTGGGATATGGAACCAAATGCTTAGGAAACATAATTTAAAAACGGCTAACTCAATATTTTCGCCAAAATATGTTCTGCAAGGCAAGATCTCCAAGCTTGCATAATATTTTTGGGTAAAATATTGGGTTACCTTTATAAAAAATCGAGCCTTTTAACAACACTAACAATGATATAAAATAAATAAAAAATTGATAAAAGAAAATAAATTGCAATTTTTTTATATAAGAGTCAGGGCTAGGTACATTTAATTTAATTTACTTTCATATTTATGTGATTAAGTTAAGATCAATGATATAGTAAACCTAAGCTGACGATTATTAAAAATGTATATGGTAGCATGTCAATATGTTTTTTCAGTCAATGCCTTATTTTTTCAACTTAAATCATTTTTTGATCGCGTTTTTTAAATAAAAAAATATGATTTTGCTGGAAATTTATTCAGGCATGTGTAGAATACATTATGATTTTTAGAACGTTTTGCCATCAATTTTATATTTTTGAGATATGTCTATTTAACTTCCTAATATTCACTCCTCCGATGTTATTTTTGTGTATATAATATTTCTTTTTATCCGAGATTTTATATGCATATTATAATTCTTTTTAAATTGAATTCATTTTAAATTGAATTCATTTTTAATAAAAAGAATGCTCCTTATAAAAAACAATTAATTTTTGGATTGAAACAAAAGATGATTTTATCATCTTTTCACAATTTCAATAATTTTTAATAAATTATAAATATTTGGAATATCAAGCCAGGATTATGAAAAAATAAAGCAACTATCTCAAATATATTAAATTATATAAACTTAATATAAATAAACTAAAATTAATTAAAAAACTAATTTTGTTTAACGGTTCTTAAAAATTATTGGAACTTTTTTTAAATTTAAAGGAACTGGAATGGAACGTAAGCGCAATATTTTAATTTTAGAGGAATTGGAACGGAACTAGAAATATGCAGTTTGTAAATCCATGCGTATTTTAGCACAAATATTTTTCAATTTTGCATATAAATTAAAAATAATTAGGAGCCATTATATGTGGCCATTCCTTGAATTTCGACCTTCTAGCCCTGAAGATGTTCCACCCATATGTTATCGATACATCAATCATTTACAATATAAGAGGCGATTCTCACTTCAAAAAATCAAAACTTAAAACTCTCGCCAAAATATTTCTGGGTAAAGAAATTCAGAATGCCGATAAGATTGGACATGATAGCATTGAAGATGCCAGAACTGTCATGGAACTAGTTTTACTCAAATTAAGAACAGGTTTTGCTTGTTACTGATAAACAAATGATAGGGAATAAATGAAAATGAATTAAAATTATACTGACATTTTTAGAGTATAAGACATACATAACTATAAATAAATTTTATATTATTTGCAGTTTCAAATCATTAGAAATGAACAATTTATTTGATTATAAAGTATAAAAAAGATGAAAATTAGTGTATGAGAAATAATTTTTTTTATTCATCAAAATAGGATTTTTTTAGATTAGGAAGGTTTTTATAAATGATTTATAAAAATTCTTTTAAAAAAGGTCAGGATTTTGGCGACATAACCAGACGTTATCATTTTAAATATGATCAAAACACTGAATTATTAATGTCTAAAATAGACATTTCTCCAAATTCCGCACTTGGGAGCAATTCTTTTAAGTTATATTGCCCAAAATGTTTTCCTGCTCTCCGGTTGGTCGCTGACCAAGCACGTGACATGCAACTTATTACTTCAAGTTATGCCAATCAAAAGAATGGTAATATATTTCTTATAAATAAAGTTCAACATTTATGATTATAATTAAATACGTACTATTATATATATCTGAAACTAAATTAATATTAATATTTGTTATAAGCAACCAAGATGAGATTAGACGAAGCTATATCGGATGATAACGCCATATCTGATTGTGAATCCTGTCTTGTAAACCACAAGAACTCCATATCTAGACAAAAGGATAAATCATGTAAAAATATGGTCATTTTATTTATCACTCATGAAATTTCATTGTCTATTTCAAAAAAATTACCACGTATGCAAATTTTAAAATTCTTATAACATCAAGTATTTAAACCTCTTTCAATTAATTAAGAAACCTTCGGAACAATTTGATTCATAAATTATTCAGATTCTTAAAAAATATACAACTAGTGATCTGCATCAGGCCTAATTTTTCAAGCCCGACCCGAAATTATTTTTAAAATGATTTTGCCGGCCCGAACCCGAAATTTTTTTTAAAAAGTTTTGCCGGCCCGAACCCGAAAATTTTTTAAAAAAATTAACCGGGCCGGCCCGTATTTATTTAAATATAGAAATTAATTTTTATAATTACTCAAAATAAAAGACATATGTTATACGGCGTTTAGTTTCAATAAATAAAATCAAAAATTTTTATTTTGTATTATCAATATAAAATTGATAAATTTAGATATATTTAAAAAAAATTCCAAGTTCCGGCCCGACCCAGCCCGATTTTTTTATAAAAATATTAGACCCGGCCCAAACCCGATTCGGGCTTAACTTTGCAGATCTCTAAGTACAATATAAGATTGAAAGAAATAGTTGATCATCTTGAAATGTAATTTAGGTGGAGAAAAATTAGAAAAAAAGAAAAATATATATTTTTTGTTTTGTAAAAAGAACTTTACTAAATATCTTAAATAGAAGCTATTTTCAACATCAATATTTGATTCTTTACAAGTGATCAACAATTAGTGCGCCTAACCAATATTCGAATAATATTCTGATATTTTAGATTTAATATAATGGAATAATAATTTTTTGTTATTTGATGCATATTTATTTGCATTTGATAATCCTGAGCGCCGGCCGTTCACACAGGTTTTTGTAATTCTGAAAACGCAGCCTCTTTTGAAAGCCACGCCTAGATTTTGCTTTGATTATTTTTGTTCAGTTTAAAAATATAAATTTAAAATCAAATAATCACAAATGTCATAATCAAAAAGAATGTTAGTGTATCTTTTGGATTAATATATATGATATAAATAATTATATTGCTATAAAATAAATAAGTAATAAAAATAAGAAATTCTTCTTTATGGAGAATCGTTGGGTATTAATATATAAAACGAGATAATAAAACTATTTATATTCAGGCTAATATTCTAGCTGTTACCTGAAAAAAACTATATTAAAACGTCATTCAAAATATCCTTTGACCTTCTATATTACAATGGTACAGCATTTGTACCACAAAATCAAAGTCTTTGTTTGATAGTCTTACTTAGTAATACAAAACTTAATTTGGACGTTTTAATTATGTATTTTTTTAAATAATAATTTATCATAATTTAATACACATAAAATACAACTAATTAGCAATAAAGAGTTATTCAAAATTTTTCCAGAGGATTAAATCAGAATGGTGGATCAGCATAAATTTAAAAAATATTAAGGTTTCTCATTCAAAAAAGGAAAAATTTCAATCAAAAATGGAAAAGTGCCAAAAACGTAAGAAAAGGTCCTATCAAAAATGGTAGGTTCAATAAAGGAAAAGTTTCACGAGAAAAGGAAATGGTTCCATCAAGAAATAATAATTTTTTATTTTCCATCTTATTTTATTTCTAACTTTTTGCTATCTCTTTAATTTATTTTTGTCATCTTTTAATTTTTCATCATCTCATTTTTTTATTATTTGTTTTTTTGTCTTTTTAAAATTAAATATTTTATTCTCCCTTTCATTTTCCTTCAATTCTCTATTTTCTTACTTTAATCATTCTTTTTCTACTTAAATTTTAATATTTTATACTCTTGCAAGCATATCTTTTTTTCATATATTTGTATATCAAATTATTGCAATTGCAGAATAAAATTCGTTAGGTAATAATGTTAATGTACTTTTTTAAAATTTTGGACTATAATATCAAACGATAAATAAATTAGTAAAATATAATCATTACTTATCTTTGAAAATTATCTAATATATATAATCGCTGTAATCAAAAAATGAACGTTTTCGTATAACCTTAATGTTAATTTATTTTTGGTATCAACTTTCTTATCATCTTAATGTTAAATAAATCGAAGGAATATACCTTTAATTTTAAATTATTATTTTTTAAAAGAGAAAATAAAATTTTTTTTTATACATCAACGAGATTCGAACCACTGACTTAACGTTCGATAGACAAACTTTCTTTCTGGTCACCCCCCCCCCCTACATTAAATTTTGTAATACAATTCTTATATATGAAACTATTATGATCAAGTAATTTAAGTATATCAATATTTATCTTTTTTAGTGGAAGCTCAGGCTTGGGGAAACAATTTCAAAATTATTATCGGTTGGCCAGGTTTGAGAAAATTTTTTTTAATTATAATGGGTCGGGCTGGGCTTGGAAAATATTTTTTTTATTGGAAGCTGAAAAAATTTCAAAATTATTATCTTAGCAGGTTAAAAAAATTTCAAAATTATAATGGGTCGGGCTGGGCGAAAAATATTTCTATAAATTATATTGGGCTACGTTTGGGGAAATTTTTTCAAATTATTATCAGCTTGGACACTTGGAAATTTTTTTTATTATTAACTATGAATCAGACATTGACCTAAAACAAATAAACAAAGGCCCTTAAAATCTGATTTTGATTGTATTTTTAAATACATTATGATTTTTTAAAATATTTTATTCCACTCAACTACCAAAATTATTATGATCTTTGGTTGGGGTTGGGGAAATTTTTTCAAAATTATTATGGTCTTGGACCTTGGGAATTTTTTCAATATTAAATAATAGGCATAGATGATCAATAATATTTTAACAAATAATATTGATATGGGTATCAAGTAAAAGCTTTAAATATATTTTGTCTCAAAACATAGTATTTAAACTTAGTTTTAATGGATTGGACCTGACCTGAAGGTGGGAAGGGGTTATAGAGAATAAAATTGGATATTATTATCAAATAACAGGTAACAACTATCATAAGAGTAAGGAGAAAATTCTCATTCCCCGTCATTTTTGACGGACTCAGCAATGCTGACTAACGGGAGCTCTGGTGCTCTTAGTTATATATTTTTTATTTTGCCCTTCAAGAAAGATAAGCCATCATACTTTTCTCCCTTATTCGATGATAGATGAATCAGAAATTAACAATATCTTATGAGGTGTGATTCACAAATTTACCTCTTTTTCGCCTAAATTTTAATATTTTTATAAAATATATTAATGAAGTATATTTAGTACCATATACACAAACTATTTATCCCTCAACCCCGCCATTCTTGACGGGTTATTAACTAACATCCAATATTTGTGCACACAAATTGAGCGCTTACGTTTTGCCATACTTTTTTATAAAAAAATGTAACACATTCAGTGTTGCCAGGTAAAAATTATTCGATTTTGATATTTTCGTAATTTTTTTTGGAGCTTATACTCCCAACCGGGTTAGAAAGGAAACTAATCCCTAGGTTAAAAAATACTATTATGGATATATTTTTCAAATATTTATAAAATTAAAGTTTTTAATTATGATTATTTTAGAGAGCATTGAATTTCTTGATATTAAATTTTTGATATTAATTTTTTGATATTTTTATATATTAGAATATGAGAGTTTTTATAGTATATCTCGAAAATTTCAAAAATGTAATAGTTGAGTTGAGTGCGGTAGATTTCGACTTTAAAAAAAAATTATTAGTCTACTAGTCAATATGGTAGACCTGACAACCCTGAACACATTCCTTTAATTGAGTCAGGATTTTTAATTTTATAAAAATGATGGCATGTTAGTTTGAATCAACAATAAAAATGCGAGACATTTTATACATTGAAACGCTCAATTTGTGCGCATTAAGTATATTTAATTTTATACAATATACTATATTATTTGATCTATAAATAATTAAACTTAAAAATGTAATTTAAAAACTAAATATTTAGTCCTTTTTTGTCATTTATTCCATTTGATAAGCATCCTTTAAAAAGAAAAAAAATTTTAAAAAAATAAATGAAGATATGATATTAATAGGAAAGAAATATTTATTGTGCAACGAAAGCTCTCATATATTATCAGAAATATAGAATGTTTGAAGATAAACTACAAAACTGATAAATCGTCGCGTCAATATTCTAGTGTTCCATATTCATTTATTGTTCAGGAAAGCGTTTTTAAAAATTTACATGGCCTATTTTCAACAAATAAAGTGTCGAAATTTTTTATCTTATAGACAAGGCTTAGAGAGATGACCAAGCATATAGTATTTTTTTGATAACTTATATAGATTTCAAAAAATGGACTTAGAAAAAAAATTAATTTCACCTTCAATAAATAAAATGAAAATGTTCAAGTTTTAAATGGATATGGGAACATTTTAATTATTAGAAATTAACAAAATAAAAAAATAATGTTTTTGATAAAGATCTCCACTTTAACCACCCTTGATTAATTTTACTCTTTATCTCTTTCTCTATTGTGCCATTTGTTTGTATAGTGGAGCCCAAATATTTGCAGCTTTCAATTGCCAATATCTGCTATTCATTTATATTAATGCTCTCTGTTTTATCTCCTCCTATCACCATATACTCCGTCTTTTCTCCTCCTATCACTATATACTCCGTCTTTTCTCTATTTACTTTTAATCCATTCTTTTCTAGGATATTTATCCAACTCACTAATCTTTCTTTCATTTTGGATTCGGCAAGTATCACAATATCATCTGCAAATATATATTCCACAGGACTGTTTGAGGTATAGACTGTGATAATACATCTATTACTGTAATGAAGAGAAGTGGGATGAGAGCCGACCTTCGATGAACTCCCTCGGCTATTCTGACGCCTGCTGAAGTACCTGTTGTGCTACGAACCATTGTTATATGGCCCATATACATATCCTGTATTATTCTTATATATTTTTCAGGAACCTTTTTCTGGCGTAGCGCCCATCATATAAGTTTTCTTGGGATTCTATTGAAGGCCTTTTCTAGATTGAGAAAGACCATGTGTAGCTTTTTTTTCTTTTCCCTGTATTTTTCACTCATTTGCCTAATGCGTGGATTGTATCAGCTGTTGATCTTCCAGGCATAAAGCCAAACTGAGTTTCTCCTATTTCGATTATGTCTCTTAACCTTTTTTTCGTAGAGTTTAAGACAGTGTGACATTAGTTTTATGCCCCTGTAATTTTGACAATTGTGTGGATCTTCTTTATTTTTGAAGATAGGAACTAGATAGCTCTGCCTCCATTTTTGAGGGATTTCTTCATTTCCCATTATTTTACTATCAGATTTGTGAGGAGATGTATTCCATCATCTCTTAGTGTTTTAAGGCTTTCTATTGGAATGGAATATCATCTGGACCCCTAGCTTTGTTGTTTTTCATATGCTTGAGGCATGTGATTATTTCTTATTCTGTTATTGGTTGTATAAAGTTTTGACATGGGAGTGTTCGTCTAGATATAGTATGTTGGGATTAAAGTTGAGAAGCTCCTGAAAATATTCTTTCCATCTATTCATTATTTCTTTTTCCTTTATTATCAATTTCCCATCTTTGTTTTTGATTACTTTTGGAGCTCTGTTTATATCCCTAGAATTCTTTTCTCGATGTTTGGCTAATCTGTATATTTTATTTTGCCCTTCTTTGGTATGTAGTTTTCCATACTCGTATGCCATAGCTTTGGTCCTAGCTACCGCCTTTGTAGCTATTCTCTTACATTTTTTGTAATTTGTCTTGTCATCTGGGTTTTTGGATTTGTACCATATTTTATATAGGGCTTTTTTCTCCTGTATAGGGGTTTGTACCTCTTCATTCCACCACCATAGTTCTTTGTATGATTTGTTGCCTCCCCTTGTCAAGCCTAGTGTCGATTTGGCAGTGTTTATTAATCTGGATGAAAGGTCTGTCCACTTTTTTTCACTGACATCTGAGGAATCTATTGTTTCAATGTTTGCATTGATTGCAAAGGCATCTGTCATTGTTTTTAATTTACCCCATTTGATGTTCCAGTTTTATCTTGTTTTGAGTGGATATATTTGTGAGGTGTAAATCCATGACTAGTAACTTGTGTTGCGCTGCAATATTTTCTCCTGGGATGACTCTGCAGTCTATTACATCTTGTAATCTTTTGCGAGAGATAAGCAGTAATCTATCTGGGTTTTCCTTGTACCACTTTCATATGTTATTAAATGACTGTCTTTTCCCCTATAGTAGGTGTTGGTTAAGGCAAGGTCGAAGGTAGCGCAAATTTCAGTACATGTTCTCCTTCATCATTTCTTTCTCCATATCCAAAACCACAATGGTGCCTTTTGTAGTTATCTCTTGCTTTCCTTACATGCGCATTTAAGTCACCACCAATTATGACTAAGTCATCATTAGGGATTTCCATTACAGCTTCATCAAGGATAGCTCTAAAGTCATCTTTCTCTTCTTCCTTGCAACCCATTTAAGGAGCATATATTGAAAGGATGTGTAGTATTGATTGACCAATGCAGAGTTTTATCTTCATTAGTCTATCAGAGATCTTGTTGACTTCTACTACTGAGGAGGTTAGATCTTGACTGAGGATGATGCTGACACCGTTCCTATTGCTAAATTCCATTATAGTACAATTTATACCCATCTCCAATCATTAAAGTCTTCTGACCTTTCCATTTCGTCTCTTGTATGCACGCTATATCAACTTTTCTCTCGTTCAACATTGACGCCAATTCTCTCGTCTTACCTTTAAGTGTACCAATATTCAAACTTGCTAACCTTGTCTTCTTTCCTTTGACCTTTATTTTACTTTTCGCAGGATGGAGGTCTACATTCTGCGCGTCGCTTGGAGGGAACGCCCTAGCTTTCATATTCATATTTCCATTTTTGTTTATTGGACAAGTATCCTTAGCACCCGGCTGTCCAAGCTTGTCGGTGACCGGGGTGTCATCTCTAAGCTCCGAAATTCATCTTTCCATATGTCTTTACACATCAGTTATCGAAAAAATCCAAAATTTTTTACGTTCCTTACCAGGATCGAACCTGAAACTTTCTGTTTTCAAGCCTACATCATAACCCACTAGGCCACCCCGTCGATGTTTCGTAATTAGTTAGTTTGTATATATGGTACGCTTTATAGTAAAATTTAGGAGAAAAGAGATAAAATTGCTGCAATGTAACCCGTAAGCAGTGAGGGTATTAGAAATATCAAAATTTATATTTGTGATAGTAATCATATTGGGTAAAATTAAAAATAGAGATGCTTCTAAATTTTTGAATTTTAAATATGGGCTAGACATTGGTCTCAAAATTGTTTTGCAGACACAGTAGGCCTAATCAAAAAACCACGTCCCATGCAACTTTCCCAATATTTTGCCATTTATTTCTATTGTAATTTAATAATAGTCTTAAATTTAATTTTATATTTAGATAAATTTGTGATAGAAATCATATTGAGTAAAATTTAAAATAGATATGCTTGGGGAATTTTTTAATTTTAAATATGGGGTAGACATTGACCCGAATTTTATTTTTACAGACAAAGCCAGGCCTCATCAAAAAACTAAGTCCCATGCAAATTTCATAAAATTTTGCCATTTATTTCTATTGTAATTTAATAACAATGTCTTAAATTTAATTTTATATTCCATTTATTTCTATTGTAATTTAATAATATCTTAAATTTAATTTTATATTTAGAATAAAATTTAAATTTGTGATAGAAATCATATTGAATAAAATTTAAATAGATATGCTTGAAAATTTTTTAATTTTTAATATGGACCAGACATTGATCTGAAATTTTTTTTCAAACCTGCCAACCCATAATAATTTTGTAATTTTTTCCCAAGCCTGGAGATAGGTAAATCTCTGAAAACCATATTGTTGGGAAGATTTTATTAAGCCCACCAAAGACAATTATAATTTTGTTAGTTGAGAACTGAAATAAAAATATAAAAGTCATAATTCATTTAAAAATAAAATTAGAATATGAAAATTGCGCCTTGGTTTTTCAATCAGGCCTGGCAATTTCTGCAAAAAAAATTTCAGGACAATGTCTAGCCCATATTTAAAATTAAAATATTTTCAAGCATTTCTATTTTATATTTTACCCAATATGATTTCTATCATAAATCTAAATTTTATTCTAAATATAAAATTAAATTTAAGACATGTTAATGATGTTGAAGTAATATTACATTGATCTTGATTTTCAGTACTACTACACTTTGATATTGATGCAATAAGACTTTGCTCTTGTCTTTTCTTGCTTCGACAAAGTTCCTGTCTCCGTCTGGCTTTCTCCTTATGCTGATATGTTATTAAAATTTAAAAATATATACCTATTAAATAGTTTGAATTTTAACTTACATACACTAAAAAGTTATGCATAACTTATTTTTGTAAATTATCATTTTTAGCCCCCATAGAAAAAAAATCCAAGGAGTTGTATGTTATAATAATGATTGTTTAATATATATATGATGAAAGGCAACAGGACCTTCCTGGCAGCTAAAATTTAAAATATAAGAATACCTAATTAATAGTTTGAATTTTAACTTATATACACTTCAAAGTTATGCATAACTTATTTTTGTAAATTATCATTCCCTATAGAAGAAAATCCAAGGAGTTGTATGTTATAATAATGATCAGTTATGTCTAAATTTGAGACAAAAATTTACTGTACCTTTCTAGCAGCTAAAATTTTAAAATATAAGAATACTATTTAATAGTATGAATTTTAACTTATACACTTAAAAGTTATGCATAACTTATTTTCGTAAATTATCATTTTTAGCCCTCATAGAAGAAAATCCAAGGAGTTGTATGTTATAATAATGATCAGTTATATTTAAATTTCAGACAAACTTTACTGTACCTTCCTGGCAGCTAAAATTTAAAAATATAAGAATACCTATTTAATGGTTTGAATTTTAACTTATATACACTTAAAAGTTATGCATAACATATTTTTGTATATTATCATTTTTAGCCCCTATAGAAGAAAATCCAAAGAGTTGTATGTTATAATAATGATCAGTTATGTTTAAATTTGAGACAAAAATTTACTGTTAAGGATCTTGAAACAATAATACATTGCTCCTGATTTTCAGTACCACAATTTGATTGTTGATTTTCAGTATCTTTTGTTGAATGGTATCTTGTGCAGGAATCTAAAAATATAATAAAATAGTAATTAAATAAAAAATTTACCAAGAATATCTATTGCATCAGTTAGTTTCAGTTCAGTTATTTGATTTATCAGTTAGTTGGTAATGGAAGATGAATGAATGTTATATGATTCTGTGGTGATTTTTAAAAAGAATGTAAAAAATATCAGAATACCTATTTAATAGTTTGAATTTTAAAGTATCTATTTGATTAATTTTGCCAGATTAAGAAAAAAAATCATTTTGCCAGATAAAGAAAAAAAACCTTTGCCGGGATTCGAACCTAAGTCCAAACGTCCAAGCGACGTTCTTGCCGATTGGGCCACAGGCACTTTTCAAAATTAACGATTTTTTAAATATATATAGATTGAAAGTGTGACAGTGTTAGCGTAACGGTATTTTTGTGACAAGGCTTTTATATATATTATAGATAATTATATACAAACATTAATAGGTAAAAAAAGAAGATAAAAATATAAGGAGAAAAAGAATGATAAAAAATACAATAAATTTTTTAAGAAAAAAAGAATCGTTTAAAAGGACAAAAAAATTGAGAATTAATAAGATGACAAAAATTGATTAAAAATGACTTATAGCGATCGTAAAAAGTTAGAAATAGAATAAGAAAACCAAAATTTAAAGAAAAAATGACATTTCGGGATTATTAAACTACAACAAATAAAATATAATATATTTTTTTTAATTAAAAAAACAATTGAGAAAAAGTTTCATTTAAGCAAATTTTTATAAAATTCTTTTATATTGGGCAATACGAATTAGGGATCTGCAAAAATGGGCGGGCCTATTTTTTTAAAAAGAAATCGGGTTGGGCCGGGCCTAATATTTTTTTAAAAAATTTGAGCCGGGTCGGGTCGGGCTTTGGAAATTTTTTTTAATATATCTAAATTTATCAATTTTATGCCTAATTTTTAATGTTGATTTTATTTATAAATACTAGACGCCATATATCATTTATTTTGTGTAATTATAAAAATTAATTTCTTTATTTAAATAAATTCGGACCGGGCTTGAAAAATTAGGCTTGATGCAGATCACTAATACGGATATCTATTACGTTTTTTAATTTATCTAAATTTTCTTCAATATTATTCTCTTTTACATTTAATTTCTTAAAAAACATCAAAGTTTTCTTTGTTTGATTTAACCGAATTTCTGAAAGCATTAATACTTTTCAGACATATATCTTTAATTTTAGTTCGGTCTATATCAAATAATATATCCGATTCTGGGAAAATTTCTTAAAATAATATAACAAAATTTGAAAATTTACATCATTTAATATATTTAAATAGCCATGAGATGTTATTAAAACATTATCCCAAACAATATCGAATTCTCCATCAATCAGTTTAAAAAACTACTAAATCCTTTAGCTGTTTGAACCAGCCCACCATTTCTTCTATTTGGGGCTACTCATGGTAGTTTTTCTTTTTAATTAAAAATACTATACAGACTAAACTATATAAAGTTGCGACAAAAGACTTTACAATCTTAAAATTTTGCTGCAAGATTTTGATAGTATAATATTTAAAAATGGGCAAAGCAATGAATATAAAGTGCTGAAGAATTAACGCCTCTTATTTTCTCTTCAAGTCATGTGGCCTGACATAATTACTGTGCCATCGGAACTAGACCTATTATTTTTTTATCATTCAAGAATTCAATGACAAAGTCCCGTCATCGTAAACATATCGAAGAACAACAGCCAGTTGGGGATTTATTGTTTATACAGTTGTTTCATCTATATTATTATAAATTCGTCTCTTCTAATTCATTTATTATTTTTTGATTGTAAGACATAGGAAATAGAATTAAAATCATTTTGTATATCACTTGATAGTCCAATAACTGTGCTATTTTCTAAATAATATTTCAATAATAAATTTTCTTCTGCTAAAATAAATTAATTAATTATAATTTCCTTTATTTACTGAATTAGAAGATTCATTATCACCACGGGATGCAAGCTCAAGAATTCCAAGAAAACCTAGAATTGATTAATATTTCTCTATTTGATTTGACTTTCGAATTATGCTGTTAGATTGATATTTTGCGCATCGAATCATTTTCAATACGATTTTTATTAATTTTTTTAATTGAATCATCGATTGCAAACATATGGCTAAAATCGTATATAAATATCATTTATATTTAAAATATGTAGTAATTTTTTTTAGATAAAAAGAAAACTTAAAATTTAAATTATCGTAAGGAGATATGCAATTGCAAAAAATACCATTCCTTTTTGATCCCAGAATCATTCTCATGGTTTTAGAGGTTAAAAAGTTTTTTTATTTTATGCTGGATAACATCTCCATCAGAAAAGTATTGAACACAAATTTTTTGATCAATTGATATGCTGGAATTAACTGGTATTATCAGGAATAATCCGTCTAAGATCATTTAATTGTGATTGTTGCAGCACATTACTGGAATTGAAATAACTTTTTTCTCTCTCTGTAAACATTAAATTATTTTGGCTAATGACAGTTGTTGAAATTTATTAATAAATTGGCTAATGATACATAATTTAATTACGCAGATAAATGGCGATGATAAAATTTATTAATAACAATGACGCTGCTTCTCTTGTTTTCAATATGACTTTTTATAAAATATAATTATTATGTTTTATTATAAGCAGATTAAACTTTGAGAGATTTATTTTGACAAATATGAGATATATTTGTTATAATAAACCTTAATGTTCTGATAATATATAAAATAAAAATATATTTCTTACTATCACAAAGATTTAATTATCTCTCCAAAAAAACAAACTACATCGTTCCTCGCAGAGTTATTAGGTCAAAAATTTCAAATCTAAAGAGAAATTTTTAAGGGGCGAAGGTCCATTGGATGGAGTGAAGAGTTTTATTGGGTTTTAATTATCATAGTTTTTACTTTATTACTCTTTACAAAATCATTATTATTTTTTCTTTTATAATGCTTCCAATTTAAGACGTACGTTTTATAATAATACAGTGCAATTTGGTAATAATATTCAAAAATTTGTAAAATAGTTAGGGTTTTTAGAGTTTTAATGCATATGACCACTTTAAAAAAGAGAAATTACTATATATTTGGTATAATATAGAATTTAAACCATACAACTTATTTTTAAATTGCAATAGCTCTTGGCCCAGGATTCATCTCAGATTTTGTACAAATATTAAGGAATACAATGTCTATCTGTAATTTGAAAGAGGGATTTTTTTATAGCTAGTTTTCTATTTACGGTTTTTTGTAATAAACCTAGTTTCAATAAAATAAATTTTATAACTTAAAAGGTTGCAGAAATCAAACTTTAAAATTGAATAACCTGTCAACGATCATGCTGGTCGATACTGGCTCTAGATTCTCAATAATACCTAGTTCGATAGCTAAGAGCGCAGGCATCACTGAATTAAAGAAATCTAATTTAAAATTAACAGGCTATGACGGCTATCAAATCAAAATATTAGGAACGGCGCAAATTAGCGTAAATTATGAAGGAGTAACTAAAAATTTACAAGCGATCGTTGTTAATAGCAATAAGAATCCATTACTTGGCTAAGTGCCTTCAAAAATATTTTAAAAAAATTTGTGGGAAATATAGGTGATGCATTATTATTAACATTCGCTTTAAAAACTGTTGCACCATTAGAAGAAAGTTCTACATTAGTTGATCTTTTTTTTATTTGGTCCAAGTGTCTTTTTATAATTTTGTTCCCAGTATCTATATCATACAACAAATTTCCGTTTTTGCGCATTATTGTACCTTTTTCCCAATTATTATCTTTAAAAGTTTTATACCATATGCTGTCTCCTATTTCTATATCCCTATCTATTGATATCTTGCGATTTAGTATATGATCTCTTTCATCCCTCGGTTTTATCAACTCCCATTTTGTCCTAATCATTCTGGAGAACATTACTTCGCTTGGTATTTTGTTGGTCGTTGCGTTGGGTGTATTACGATAATTAAAAAGAAACTTTTCTAGAGCTATGTCTACGTCTATTTTATTATTATTTTCCATATTCCTTTTCATATTCATTTTCATTGATCTAATCATACGCTCACATTGGCCATTGGACTGTTGGTGGTGAGATGCGGTGAGCAAGTGTTCGATTTCGTGATCTTCGCAAAATTTCTTAAATAATTTACTGGTAAAGTTAGTTCCATTATCACTGACTATTCTATTAGGTATACCAAATAAACTTATTATTTTCATCAATTCTTTAATCGTTGATTCCGTAGTTGTGTTTCTCATTCTCCTAATAATAGGAAATTTGCTGAAGGCGTCAACACATACCATAAAATTATTATCTTTGAACTCTGCAAAGTCTATGTGTACGCGCTCGAATACTTTCGTTGCTGTTTCCCATGGGTTTTGAATATTATGAGGATTGTCTGCATATTTATTGCAAGCATCGCAATTCTTTACCTCCTGATCTATTTCTGCATTTAAACCAGGCCACCACAGATACTCTCTCGCTAATGATTTTGTTTTTCCAGCACCGAGATGCCCATTATGCAACTCTTGCAAAATCTCTTTTCTCATACCTTTCGGTATTATGATCCTATTCTCTTTAAAAAGGCAACCTTTGATTAAACTCAATTCCAATACCATATTTTTATACGTTTTGTTCTTTATCTGCTCATGATTCCTTATATCGTTGATTACTTCCATTAGTTCTTGATCAATATTAGTTTCTTTAACTATTCTTTTAAAATTTATTGGTGTGTCCCAAAAATTGTCATCAATTATTTCGTCATCTAACTTTTGTACTATCTCTTCTGTATTACAGTGTTTACTTTATTTGTATATCGTGATTGATTATTGTCGTTGTTATGATATTTACAATTGCATACTTGATTAGTTCCTCGATTTCCAATATTATGATTATCGTTATATCTTTGAATACATCTTGAATCGTTATAATGTCTGTTATATCTCTAATTATAATCATTATTAAATCTATTATTATTATAGTCATTTTTATTATAACTAGCTCTATTATCAGAATTATTGTACGATCCTGGATAGTTTGCTCTGACGTTTCGCGTTATAATTCTGATATCTAGGGTTGTAATTATTTCCTTGGTAACTGGGGTTATAACTATTTCCTTGATAAATATTTCTTTGAAAGTCATGGCCTCTTGCTGTCCATCGTTGTCTGTTATCGTTATTCGATCGTGGATTATGTCTATCGTCGTATCTGACCACCTGTTTGTTTTCTTCAACTTTTATGCCTCTTTGTCTTTCCAAATGTTTTACGCTTGTTTCTTTTTCAGTCTTTTCATTTAAAGAAATGTTTTCAACTTTAGCTATTATATTTTCTTTTAATTCTGTCTCCTCAAAATCATCTCTTAAACTAAAGACTTCTGCTAACGTAATATTCTCTTTCAACGTAATTTTCTGCCTGATACTTCTGCTATTTGATGAAATTTTTACTTTTTCAATGACTCTACTATCGCTTAACGAACATTCATTTTGTAAAATACATAATCTACTTACCCAATTGATGTAACTTTCATTTTTACCTTGTACAGCTGCATTGAATAATAACAATTTCGAACTTGTAGATTTCCTCGGGTGTAATAACCTAAATTTTTCA